TTTACTGCTCATGCTTTTCTTCCCAGACTCTCCAAGTTCAAGTGCTCCAGTGCTCATCCTTTGTCCTCTGCACTGGTTTCGTTCATTCTTGTGGCAGTCCCATCCGCAGTCCCGACTCTGAGTACCATCCCCATGCTCCTGCTCCATCTCCAGCCCCGGTGTCTCTTCTGAGCTTCAGACTCGCGTAGTCAATTGGCTCCTCAACATCTTTACGTGGCGTGCGTCGTCTACAAACTCACAGATGTCGAGTCTCAGCTGTTCTAATTCCTGATCTCTCACCGTGACAACCGTTTCACTACCGACTTTGTCTCAAATGATAGAAACCATGATCTTCCGGCGATTCAGGCCCAACACTTTAGACTCATCTTTGACTTCTCTCTTTATTACTCTCCCCCACACGAGAAAATCCAGCTGGCTTCCACTGCCAATGTACCTGAGGTCCGAGCGCTTCCCCCGCTTTCAGCACACGCCCTGCTGGGAGCCGCCGTCCCGCCTCTCCCGAATCACTACAGGATGATAACTTGGGGGTCAGCGGTGTTTCCTTGTAAAGGGCTGTGCAGTAAACGTTTCTGCTTTGCAGACCATACAATCTTTATGACAACTACCCCCCTCTGCCACTGTAGGGGAAATGGGCACAGCCACGTTCTAATGAACGTTTATTCACAAAAAGGCATGCGGCTGGATCTGGACCATGAGCCGCAGCCTGCCGGCTCCTGTCCTAGCTGCTCTCCCCGTGTCCGTCCTTGCCCCGCGGTTCTCTTTTCTCAGTGTCATGCCCAAGGAATTCTTTTACACGAGCCAGGTGTCACTTCTCTTCTCAAAACTCTGCAGTGGCTCCCCTGCTCGGTCAGGACAAAAGTAAAGGCCCTTCCCAAACCTGCAAGACCCTGCCTGATCTGGCCCCACTCCTGTCCCTAAGCCTTGTATCTTACTACACTCTCTCCCCCCTGTACTCTGTGGCAGCTGCACCGACCCCCTCGCTGTTTCTCAACTAGGCCAGGCACACTGGAGACAGAGCGTTTGGACGGGCTGCTCCCTCTTCCCCCAGACGTCCGGTGGCCCGTGGCCTCACTTCACTCCTGTGCTCAAATGTCACCTCTTCAATGAAGCCCACACTAACCACTATTTGAAACTACAACCCTCCTCTGTGACCCCCAACTCCCCTTACTTTACTTCCCTCTTTCCCCTAAACTTACCACTTTCTAACATAATGAGATAATTTATTATCCTGTATTTATTGCATCCCTATGTCTTCTAAAATACAAGCTACACAGGACCAAAAATCATTAGATTTTTTTCCTCTGGTGTATCCTGAGACCCTAGAGCAATGCACGCCACGTAGTAGGCATTCAAAAACATGTTGAAAGAACGAGACTGCGTAGCCTCCAGAGGTGTAGTGAGTCCCCCTGTTCTCCATATTCCTTTAACGCTTTGTACTGCCACTCTCTCGGTCTTCTGTCCTGATTTATTAATATGTATGTGTCTGTCTTTCCCATCACCGAGCCATGATCTTCTCAGACGTTTTCTATATGTTTATTCTCAGAAAGTAACCCAGCCTGTCGTGCACCAAGAGGTCAGAGTAGGCCGACGTCATGAACGCACAGAGGTGCCGTGTATGCATACTCCTCTGGCCCAAGTCACTCACCCTGCAAGTCAGTTGTCATTTAAAAAGTCTCTCCTCAACCCTACTCCAAGATACATGTGTACACACACTCTACTAATTGAGATAATTTAAAACCATTTTTCACATATTTACTTAATTAGCTCGCAGTGACCTCTGCAAAAACACTGGCCTCTGATGATTATAAGAGGTAGTTTTCTGGCGTGGACACCAAAGCATCAAAGCGTCAGCTGGGACGAAGGAAAGCAATAACACAACTGGTTTTAATTACTCCTGACAGGCAGCTGAATGTATCTGCCACAGGTCTTCTCCCCAGTACATCACTCAAAACAGACCAGTCACAGGAAATGGCGGAGAGGGAAAAAAAACACAACAGAGTAAGGCCAAAATGTGTCCATAATACAAAGCAGATCATCTTTCCCATGGATGACCTGATTCATTTCGTTTTATATTTTTATGATGGTCCTGAATCTATAAAACGGCTGACCCCTTAAGACTTGGCAAGCTTCTACGCTGGTGCTTAGAAGTGGTGGCCCAGGTTCTCCGGAGAGGAGGCGGGCGAATATTATACCCATTCACGAATCCTTGTACGAGCCCAGGGGTCCTCCAGAGTTCATCTGGAGTGGCAGGCATGTTTGCAATCAGCTCGTCTCTGGGGTACAGGTGAGCCCCCTCTTCCCACAGTCCACGTTCACCGAAGGACTGACTTCATCTGTGACCTGGTTGGCGCTTTGGGCTTGTCGCTTAGCCAGAAACAGGTGAGGATTAGGGGTTGCTTCATTATGACCGACTCACCATTAGAATGTATCTTTCTTATGAGGTGTCACCTCTCACATGATGAAACTTGGGGCTTTGGGTTGGCCATATTCTTGGGTTGACTCAAATATGAGAGAGACAGAGAGAGATGTTTTCTTACTAGGAGGGACCTAATTTTCTTACTACAATCTCCTCTTGATTGCTTGTGTCCAATCCCCAAACTCACTGCCTTCTTGTATCCATGCCTTTCCTGTCTGGCCAGCTTGCATTGCCTGGTCGCTGTCTGGACCAGCCTTGCACATCCCAGTGCACATGGGATTCAGAAGCCCTTGGCTTTTCCTACTCCTTTGCTCTGATTCCCGTTTGATGCTTCCAGAAACTTAGCCTGCCTCCTGAGTCTTTCCACTGCTCGTATGTAACATTGCCTTGTATACTTTCAACCCAAGTCTGAGTTCCTGAGTCCCTCCTGACTGGGAGGGCATATGCTAAAGGCAAATTCTAACCATGAATGCTCCATTAAGGAGCTCAGATTTTAACAGAGGAAATAGCACGTAAGCGGGTAATTACAGTGCCACGTAAGTGCCGTGAGACGTTAAGCAGAAGGTACTATGGCAGCACATAGTGGGGGTGCCTAACAGCACCTGCGGTGGGAGGCTGGCGAGGGAAGGAAGCTCCCCAAAGTCGGCAGCATCTAAATAGTCTGGGGCAGATACAAAAGGAGGAGAGACATTCGACTCTAAGGAAGTAACACCTGTGAATGCTTGAGCCATAAATGGCAGCTCCTTCAGGGAACTACACGTAGTTAAGTGTCGCTGCAGTGGGCTGTGGGGAAACCAAGGATGGATGGGAAAGCCTGGGCCAGGTCAGGAAAGGCTTTGCTGTCGTTCTAAGGAGCAGGAAGTCTCCCTTAGTGATAGGGGGTCACTAAGAGTTCATATGTGACACGGTCATATTTGTGCCTTAGAAAGACTGGCATCAGTGTGGAGAATGGGTTTTACCGTGTAGCTCTTCCCCTGAACCCGGCCCACGCTCTTGCCTGCCCTGCCTAATCTTTCTGTGGCTCCGAAGAGCCCAGCTCCCATGCCCCTTTCTCCGTTAGTATCCTCCAACAAAGGAATGCTCAGGAAGAGTTTGAAGCCTTCTAAACAATGCAGATTATCTGAGCCCACGTCACAGAACTAGACTCTCGTGGGGACAGGGCCCGTGAATCTCCATGTTATAAAAGTCTCCCAAATGGTGCTGGGACAGCTGTGCTATGCACGGAATCTGTACCTAGTGCAGACTGTGACTCGTGCCAACCGCACAGATGGGCTGACGGCACCAGCAGGGCTTGGCTCACTGAACTGCACTGGAGACGGCTGGAGCAGGTCTCACTTACATGCCTTCCTTCTGCAGTGTCTCTGACTCTGCCCAGGACCGGAAAAAGCAGTCCCTCCCTGGAGCCCTCAAGAACTTTCTCTTATTTTTTGAATAACATGCCCAAATGTTAACATGACCTATTAGGCAGCATGATCAGCTCCAAGGGCCTCTCCTCTCAAGTCACTCTTTCCTTTATCTTGTGATTAAGAGTGTAAAGAGTGTGTACCGAGGACTGACGGACAAGGACAATGCGGGGGGTGTTGATTGTGGGACAGGGGGGCAGAGCAGGGGAGAGCAGTGGGGGAAATGGAGACGACTGTAATTGAACAACAGTAAAAAAAATTTGTAAAAGAAGAAAAAAGAGTATAAAGAGAAGAAGATGCAGATATAATTTACTCCCCAACATCTACTTTCTCAATTGAATTAAGGACAGATATAGAGTTGGGAATTGGGAGGAGCAATAAAAATATGGAAAACGTCTAAGGAGAATAAAAGTGACTTGACTTAGGATGAGGAGAGGGACTGCTGGTCAACCTCAAAGACTCGACCAAGTTGAAGGTCGTATATCCGTATCCGCAGGACAATTAGGTTACTTCTTCCATAAGCTCGGGAGCCCAGGAGCAGAGGAAATCGATAATTGTGTCCATCAGTATCTGAGTATTGGCAAAGCAGAAAGTCGAGAGGTTAGAGAATTGAGGGCACTGGTATAAAGAAAAAGAAAATTCCTGGATGGGCCTAAAAAGATTTGTCTAAGTTGCTCCAATACACAGCGGATTGAAACTAGCGTGCCCTTGTTCGCCACACTCAGTCCGTTTGGTGTGGTTCACCGTTTGACTTAGCTCTGCCCTGGCTCGTTCACTAAAGGTTCCCCCTCACATCCTGCTACGTTCCCCTAGAGTGTGGTGAGTGCGGACGGTGGGTGCCGGGGCAGAGTACGTGGCACAGCTTTCCAGGACGAAAGTGAAACTACCGAGGTAATGCTGTAACAGCATTAATGACGTAGTAAATGTTCTATAACGCTCGTCTTCCTCCTAAGCTAGAGCTATGCCATGCCGACGGGATTTTTATGGCGATAGCACATCCATGCCATACACCTTCTGTGTGTAAACTGATTCCTTGCACCCCGTAGAGGACCCATTGTACATCCAAATAGCAAACCTACGCATCGATCGGAACACAAGCGTATGCTTCGGCATGAAGATAGGGGAGTGTTGTAAAGACAACACGTTACATTACACTTGGTTGTGGAAGATTTTTTATTACTTTTAGCTACCCAGTGCCTTACATTAATCCCGCTAGTTCACGTTTCAGGTTTATCATTTCGCTTTTCTGTCCCGTGTGCATCCACACCAGCCAGGGAACCAGGGGCCCTGCAAGGAGGCAAGCAGCGCCGGGAGCCACTGGCTAAAACTGCATCACCAGTGACACTTACTTGCATGCGCACAGCTGCAAGTTCAAGGCAACGACGCTTTCTCCTGAAAGTGGAGCCCCTTCCCCACCGCAGAAATGCAGCCTTCGGTCAGCAGATTCCCTGCGTAGGACATCCCTGGGCGGGGAACTGACCCAAAACAGAAAGGGAAACCATGTACTTTTCTGTCCAGAGAGAGACTAAAGACAAGTAATGGGCTCGTTTTCATAAGAGCCCTTTGGTGTTTTCGTACCGGGGGAGGGGGCGGTTTTAGAGCAGTGGCCGCAGGAAGAGGAAGGCCGTGCAGCGCACCGGCCCGAGGGCGGGCAGAGAAGGGGTCAGACCTCAGTGCGTCCTCTGCCTCGCGCGTCTTCAGGGCCCGAGGCCGGGTGGCTCCCTCGCCTGTTCCTGGGCACACACGCGTACAGTTTCGGTACACAGCCGGCATTTTTTCCCCGATGTTTCGCTTCACTTATCTTTCGGACAATCCAGAGCGTTTGCATGGACTTCTTTAATGAGTGGAAGTGGTACATACGACGTCACCCGTCGTTTCCACACACGCATTGCGTCCCTTCTCGCCGTCCCTCCGTGGACGACGGTGCGCCCCGGAGGGGAGCTCCCGCGTCCCGGAGCACCGCCGCGCCTCTCAGCCCCCGCCTGCGCCGCGGGTCAGCGGCACGCGTCGCCGCGCAGGGCGAACATCCACACGGGCATGCACTGCTCTGGGAAGCCGTCCTGCTTCTCCTGGCCCAGCACCACCAGCCCACTCTCCCGGATGAGGCTGCCGAGGATGTGCGTGTCCCGCGTCACGCTGCTGTCCGAGGCGTCGAACACGCAGCCCTCGCGGGCCACGTTGTCCTTCAGTATGATGACGCCGCGCTCTTTCAGGCCCTCTCGGCACCGGGAGAGAAAGGCGAGAAGGTCTCTATCGGTCAGGTACCCTGCAGATGAGGCCGGGTTGAGGGGGAAAGGGGAGGAAACGGTGGGTGGGAGAGAAGGTGAGCAGGAAAGGACCAGGAGACCGTTTCGCTCATTCATGCATTTTCTAATAGCCTGGATTGTTTTTGTTGCAAGAGGCTTTGAGAATTTAGATAAGGGGAGAGTTATCCTCTTTGAGGGGCTCAGTGCCCTGCTTATAAAGTAGATGTTACACTACCTGCTCTCTCTACCTCCTGGGCAGGAGCTGAACTATTGCCCATCCCCATGGGTCCTCTCCAACCTGACTCTGTCACTCACCTGTGTCTCTGACACACACACAGGACAAAATCTAATTCACTATTGTCTCATTTCCTAAGGAATTCAATCTAAGAAAGTCTAGTTTTGCCAATAAGTGGGAATAAACTTTTTTGGCCATACATTTTAAAGTTTTTCAAGTATTTAGGTTTCTTCTAAGATTTGGGTTGGTCCCAAGACATTCCCTCCCTATGGACGGGAGTTGTCAGGCTGCACAAAGGATGCTAGGGGCGAAATCAGAAGGACCAGAGCTCTCTAGCAGTCCCCATGCCACCTGAAGCCAGCTAACCGCTCTAGGCGCAGCTACAGCTACAACCTTGCTCCCTCTCCTCCAAACCTCGAAGGAGTCGGGTGTTGTCTTTTTTGTGGGGAGGGAGAGGGCCGTGGGGGACTGACCGGACACCCACTGGATCCAGATGACGTCGTATCTCCCCGGCGGGGGCGTGAACTCCTGCAGGCCGTAGCAGTGGTAGTTTTCCACCTTGTCCCCATCGACCTGCAGGTAGTTCTGGGCCTCGAGGAGGAAGGACTCCATCATGTCCACCAGCTCCACGCTGTTGAAAACCGGCAGCAGGACGTGCTTGCTGACCCTTCCTATCCCAGAGCCGCAGTCCAGGGCGCAGTCCGTCCCAGCTCTCCCGGGCCCCTGCGCAAAGGCACAGACACCCACTCTGAGTCTTGGACACCCCAGTTACCTCTCCACGTCAACTTTATTTAGGCCAGTCTCATGTAGTAGTAAGATGCACTATGTTAAGAGGGTTTATTCAATGAGTCCGGACAAGTGCGCAGAGGCACAAACTACCATAGCCAGGTTATAGAACACTTGAGTACCTTTTCAGAAAACACACAAACATTTCCAGCGTTTGCTTTCTTGATATGATCGAAACACAGGTCTTTAAAAGAATTTCAAAGTAGGATTTTAGAAAATCATGCCTTGGGTTTAAAAAGTTGGTCATTTCCTCGGAAGAAATAGGTCACTGAAAACCCTATGAAGACAGAACTTCGTGGACTGTCATTTCGGGTCAGACCCCCAGCTACACAGACCTGCGTTGCAGCTTAGTGCTTTATCTTGAACAGAGAGGCAGTCACAGCCCCTCTGAGTTTCAGGTGCGCTTTTCAAACTCATTCCGTGAACACGTTTCAATCCAGGTGGTAGACTTGAAATTTCAGTTTTTTCCAAAACGGACTTGGGGTTCTCTGAAGCGTCTACTCTCCCAGTATGGGGGAGGGGGGGCGGATTCTGGGGACCCACGCTGAGGGAACGCTAACCGCCTCGTGCTCCTGCCCGGGTTCTCCAGCAGACCTGCCCCGACGGCGCACGGCACATTCAGGTGGGGCAAAGGCGGTTGCAGCAAAATCCCCTGCATCTTTCATGCTGGAAATTGTTTTCTGCTTTTGTACCAGAAACCTCGTGATCCACTGGGCACAAAAACCTCTGAATTTTTTTTTAAAGATTTTATTTATTTATTTTTAGAGAGGGAAGGGAGGGAGAAAGAGGGAGAGAGAGAAACATCAATGTGCGGTTGCTGGGGGCCGTGGCCTGCAACCCAGGCATGTGCCCTGACTGGGAATCGAACCTGTGATGCTTTGGTTCACAGCCCCCACTCAATCCACTGAGCTACTCCAGCCAGGGCAGCCTCTGAATTTTTTAAGTATGTCTATGCATCAAATTTACAGGGGCGAAGGACCGATAGATGGTGAAGGAAGGGGAAACCAACCAATATAAACTTTCTGCAACTTGCTTCTATAAAGTAGTATTTACAGCCCTGGCTGGTGTGGCTCAGCCGATTGAGCACCGTCCTAAGAAACAAAGGGTCACTGGTTCAATTCCCAGTCAGGGCCCATGCCTGGGTGGCACAGCCAGGTCAGGTCCCCAGTAGAGGGGCGTGCGAGAGGCAACCACACATTGATGTTTCTCTCCCTCTCTTTCTCCCTCCCTCCTCCTCTGTCTAAAATAAACAAATAAAATCTGTTTTTTAAAAAAGTAATATATACAAATATGTACATATACATGATGGGCTGAATCTCTGAGATATCTGTACAAATCCATCCATAGCCCAAAGATTCCACCGGTCTAATTGATTTGGTTATAATTGGGATGGCTGTTGAATAGGTTTTATCTCAGAAATTTTAGTAACAAGATTCTTGAAGTTGCCAGTAAAGATCTTAAGGAAAAAGCCTACTCTTGATTTCTCAGAAACTAAAAACATTCAGCTAAGAATCACAAGGTAGAGTTTGAGCAGAAGTAAAGATCAGAAATGTGCTTTCCAGTCCACCCAGAAGGCCTTCCTCATAGCAAGAAAAGTACAAGGAGGAAAAAGTGAAGCAATTGTACCTTCTCTACAAATGGGATGATAATATCCAGGATTTATTGAATGCTTATATATAGCAAGCTTTTGGCATCTACAATAACTACAATAATCAAAACAGTTCCAGAAGATAACGATCATTCCCCAATATGGAGGTGAGGAAACTGTGATTTCTAATGCCACACAGTTAATGGCAGAACTTAAATCTGAACGGGGAGCTGTGTGACTCAAAGGCCAGCCAGTTCGTTTCTGAGAGTTGTCACCTCCAGTGCCAACTCTGGTTTCCTAGGGAGCATCTGGCTAACGCTGCGTTGCAAGGAATTCTAAGGCTTCATTCGAACTCAACAGGAAAGAGGTGGAGGATTGATTAGTGATGTGTGCCCTGAGTATGGGCAGGGGACATGGTAATACAGGGGCCATTTGTTTGTCATTCCTACTTACATGGTACCACCTCCCTCATTCGGACATTCTAACTCCAACTAAGCTAATGCAGAAGAGAGGCCTCGGCCCAAGGCTTATGCTGGGAGGGCTGTAAAGGAAGCCCCTTCCAAGTAACCGCATAACATAGACAGGATGGGGGCAGAACAGGGACATTACTGTGAACCGCTGAAAAGGCCTAGAAGAAATCTGTGTGCTCCGTCAGAGATCATCATCACAAACTTTTCTGATCACGACCAGCCCTGCAGGCGGTGTGGATCATGCGGCTCACATCACTGCGGCGAGCGGTCTTGGATGCAGAACTGTGGACAGTGAGGCAGGGAGACCCGGGAACAACAGGCGGAGGCGTCCAGGAAGACTCTACCAGCTGTGCTCCTTTTCCCCAGCGGACCGATACAGCCGAAGCTTCTCCGGTTGAAGTGGGGGCAGGCCGCCCACACTCAGCCTTCCTGCGGTTGTCCCGATAAGCCCTCGAAGGGTCTCCTTCTCACAACCCCGGAGCTTTCTAACCACTCTCGCCCAACTCTCCTACTGATTTGGGCAAAGAAACCGAGCCCCAGAGAAGTGAGGTGCCTGAGACAGAACTCCCTGGAAAAAGTCCCTCCCTCTGATTTGTATTCTTCCCCAGTTTAGACGTGTGATATTTGACTACACTTGCTCTCGAAACGATGGTTATTTGCAGACAGAAGAAGACGCCTCCCACGCAGATGCTGTGTCCCCCCAGCCTCTCGCCTCTCTCTCCCTTCCGTGCCTGGAACCGCCCCCCCGCACGATGGCACTACGTCTCTCTCTCCGTCTCTCGTCTTCACGCAGCCCCTCCGGGAGGGGTATTTAAAGACCGGCCTCAGGGACGGCAGCACCGCCTCGTGGACGCCGTGCCTGTCCGGAGCTGTGGTTGCACCGGGATCTAAGGCCCTTCCGCGAACGTGCCAGAACCACATACGCCGTGTGACTTCCAAGCAGGAGGTTCTGTTATTTTCATCTTCGTTGGTTATGCTCATTAAAATGCTCTTAGGAACTTTTACTTTAGTTTTGAGTCTGCCAAGTACTTTGTTTTCTGAAGAACATTATTTCAGGTTCACCCGGTGGAGTTTAAAACTAAGATGGAAGTGTTGAAGGCGACTGTATAAAAATCAGGAAATGTATGTAACAAGCTAGACCCAAGGTTCCTAGTTGTGCAATCTGAGAAACAGCAAAAGAGAAATGCCGTCAAATACTGATAACTCTTCACAAATTGCTACCCCTCCCCACCAGAAAGCTAAAATGGGGGAAAGTTATCAGCTGTGCCATGGACATCATCATCTTAATACCATTTATTTGCTAAAGTAAACCTCTTTATAACAAGTTTAAACACCATTTCCCTCCATCCCATGTCACTAAGTGTTGAAGCCAAACTTTAAACCAAACTATCCGCCCTTTCCTGGTTGACGCGAGGATTGAGCACGATCCTCGTGTTCTCGTGACCCTTGGATCTTGACCTGGATGCTCACTTAGCAGATTATTAAGGTCAGAGTGCGGAAATATCGTTCTTTCAAAAAGACCGTGTTTGTACTCAGCGGTCACAGCTTCACAATGAGTTTTGTCTGCTCAGAAGGACTCATCATATCTGCTTCAAAAGGGCAGCCCACGCTTTCCAACATAAACGTGCAAGCGCAAGGCCGTTTCCTCTCCCAGGCCCGTGGGCGTGAGGACGGGCTCCGGCTGGCCGGCACCCCTGCGGCCGGCGGGGCATTCCGCGCGGAGCGACAAGACAGCTGGATTACTGACTAAGCCCCTGCAATGCAGGGGATCAAAGTCAGCCTCGCCACCGGGCGAGCAGGGGGCACTGCTCTCCGCCAGACTGGAGGAGAGTCGAGGTCTGTGGTCCACTTAAAAAAAAATAAAAAAGCAGGATTTTTTTTTCTTCATGAAGCAAATGGAAAAAAGTATGTCATGGTTCAGAGCAGGGAGTTTGGTGTCAGACAGACCTGTCTGGGCTCAGGCTCCAGCTCTGTCTCTTCCCAGCTGTGTGGCCTTGGCAACGTACTTAACCTCCCCGAGCCTCAGTTTCCACAACTGTGGACAAGAGGAGATACTAGGACTGACCTCCCGGAATGGTGAAGAGTACATGGAAGATGGTTCTAAAGGGCTTGGCAAAGGGACTGACCGTCTCAGAAACAGCACCCCGTGAGATCAGTCGGTGACGGATCTAGAAATACTCCAGTTAAGCTGACCCATAAACAGCCATGGCCTTCATCCCCAGCTCCCTAGTCCCTACGGCTGCAGCCGATGTCCGGACACTCGGGTCCCGGCGGGCACTCCCTGCTGACCCCGTCTTCCCTCCGCAGGCACTCGGTGCTCCGGGGAGCCCGGCTGTAAGGTGAGCCTCGCCTCAACACCGCGGGTATGCTTACCAGTATGCTTCCAAGCAGGCGGACAGCCCAACCCCAAATATGTGTGATATTTACAATGTTTTCTTTATCAGAATAAAGTCAACTCTGAATTTCAAACAGACAACTTCATAATGAATTGAAACAAAACCTGTTTGCCAATCAGGACTTTCTGTCATCAGTAGGACTAACGGCAGCTTTATTGTTCGAACAACAAAGTGAAACTCCTTAAAATGCAACGAATGCGCTTTATGTAAGACTGTCACCATCGTTAGTGGCAGTGAATCAGACCTACTGGGTGACAGTTATGTGCACCAAGGCCAGCACATGGCACGTATGATCTCATCTGATCATCATGTATCCACCGAGGCATGTTCCATGGTTTTGCTCTAGTCGGAGGTAAGAAGACGGAGGCTCAGAGCGTGTAAGTAACAAGCCCAAGGTTGCTCATACAGGAAGTAAAAAAAACTGTGATCCTAGAACCCAAGATTTTGGCCCCTGCTCTCTACAGACTCCATGGGACACGCAGTAAGGACACCTAGGAGTTGCACCCGACATTGGACTATGAAGGGATCACATTCTTTCAAGACAAGGTCTGAAACTGTGTATAGAATACTATTAAGGGATTCTGCCATAGCTATCATTTTTAAACCAAACCTAAGCATGCGTTCCCTTACCACATCAAACTTTTATTGGAGAGAATCACTAAATCACCCCAAGATCCTACATGTCGTGACCGCTTATCAATTACCTGGTTGTCAACTCTTTACTAAGAGACTCTAAAACAGATGCCTTCTTAACCTCCAACTTGTATTCTCAGCACGGCCGGCTCACCTTTCCCTGAAGCACAAGCAATTAGATGCTGCTTAGGAGGTGAAATGCCCAGTGCAGTTTCTGAGCATCTCGAACAGGCCTTCAGGCCGCACTCCTGGCCGTGCCCCCCGCCTTCAGTACGGCTTAACCACACAGAAGCATGTGAGCTCGACGTTGGCAAGAACTGTGCCTCTTCGTCAAGCTGTGTTTGGATAACTCACCCCAACAAATTTCCTAAGAAATTCCTGAGAGGCCTGGATATCCGGGCTGGACAGTTCAATGAAATTTCCCATCATCCCCTCTTCTGTAGCTGGTACCTCTCGGTAGAAGAGTTTGGCTCTGGCATAGAACTGCATCTCGCCATTGATGACTTGACTTGTTAAGGCATACAATTTCACTGCAAATGAAATAGTATTAATATGATTAGTATTTATATGACAGAGCAAATTCAATCTTATCACACATTGGTTTCCTCCTAGAAGCCTGCACTTTGGGCTGTGAAGGAACAGACACTGGTCTGATGTCAGAAGACCTGCATCTGAGCTTGGCTCAATGACTCGCTTGCTGTGTAACCTTGGGGAAATTTCTTAACCTCTCTGAACTTCTGCTATCTATGTATAAATCATAATCATGTGACATTTTTCATGATTTAATGCCCTATGGTTTAATACAACCGTAGCTTATCACTATACTAAAAAAGCTTAGTAGTGTTTGCTATAGTAGAATAGACAATGTCACAAGTTTTACCGTGAGTTTTATCTTTGAGTTCCAAATCTTTTATGTGAATCTAATCATTAATCCTTACTTCTAATCACAAGGTAGATTATGGGTAGCTATTTTTTAATCTCTTCTTCAAGCAACTCATACCCAAATACTTCTTAGTACCAATATTGTAGAAAATGTGCTTAAGCTCTATATTTCAAAATAAAATAATAGAAAGATATATAATATTTGTTGAACAACTATTTTGTTCCAGGTAGTGGACTAGGTATGTTATACTATGTCATTTCACTACTTCAGAAACCACATGATGTATTATTTTAAGGCATTTATTTTTTTAGGAAAATGTGCATTCCAACTTCTGAAGGGTAAATATTCAAGTGTGTTTTATAAACCAAAATGCATCCTTGAAGATGTAAAATATTTCCATAAGAGCACATTCAGGAGGAAATGATAGAAACTGAATGAAAGGGAGGAACTTCTGGTTCAAGACTGTAGGCTGAACACATGCCTTTGCCTCCCCTCCTTCCCAGTGCCCCCCAAGAATTGCTTTAATAAACCCCGCCCATAACAGTGAAGAAAGTGAGAGGGGACCGCTGATGGGCTCGTGATCTTAACGAATTCCGGGGAGGCAGAGGGCACCCGGAGCAATGCTCAAGAGCTTGCAGCCCCGCGCAGCTGCAGGAGGAAGTAAGAGTTAATGAAAACCCTGTCTGCATACTGACCAGCGAGGGGACAAACGCCCCCTCCCAAAGCAACAGGCGTTACAGCTATGACCCTGGAGGTGGGAGGTGGGAGTATGTCTCTCCTGTTTAAGAAAATTAGGGGAACGGCCTCCATCACCTAGAATCACAGACCCCGCCCTTCGCTCCTAACCGTGAATAAACAGGGATTTCCAAAACCATGGGGGTGACCTGGCAACCTGAGAGAAAACATAGAACTGAGTCCAAAGGAAATAGAAATAACCCAGGAAATGGATGTGAATTTAAATGAAACTAAATGAAAAACTCATATACCCTTGGAGAGATGTGAGAACTGGTACATCTATGAATCAGAGACAAGGTGCCAAGAAAGTGATCATTCAAAGAATAACAAAGTCTTCTTAGAAATTGAAGTTTTGATTGCCAGCAACTTAGGAATATAGTATTGAGTACATTTATCAGGATGTAAACACAAAAAAGATATGGAAAACAGAAATAAAAAGATTAGAGCTATAATCACTTAATTCAAGAGGCCCAATATCAAGGTGATTAGGAATCTCAAAAACAGAGAAATGGAGGGAAGAAAATTATTAAAGAAATAACATAAGGAAATTTCCTGGAGCTGAGATTGTAAGATCCAACAAGTACTGAGTAACATGGACTAAAAATAACAATAATTAAGCAAAAGCCACATTTATGCATATCCTTAGGAAATTTCAAAATGCAAAGAGTAATGAGAAGATTCTAAAGATATTTAAAGGAAAAATAGTGGTTCGACCTTAGAGTAGGGTTGCCAGATTCAGCAAATTAAAATATAGGATACAAAATTAGTTTTTTAGTTCAGAGAAACAATGAACAGTTTAGCAATATAAGCATGCTCAAAATATCACACATTGCACGGGGACATGCATACTTGTACCAAACACTTATCAGGTGATTATTTCAAATTCCAATTCAGCTGGCACCTTATTTCATCGGGCAACCCTCTGGTCAAAGGACTAGAATCAGGTTTGTAACACATATCAGAAACACTGGAGAATAACGAAGCAGTGTCATTAATATTCTGTGGGAAAATGACTTTGAAACTAAAATGGAATCCCCAGTCAAATGTGAAAGAGTACTTACCTGCTATGGATTCATTCCTCAGAAGTTCCTTGAAGCTATATATTTCAGCCTGATGAAGGTTAAAATAAAGAGAAGATATTTGGCGAAAGATGAAATGAAACCAGCAGTCCAATGAAAAGAAATACCCAAATCACAGACATTTATCAGATCTAGAAAGAAATCAGTTTGTATGACAACAGAAAACATAGGCTTCAGAAAGAATATCTTCAAGAAGTATAACGAACTGGATTCTGGACAATAGACAGGACAGGTAAGAAGAGAGGAGACAGTGATATCCTACGGAAGATACATTTTTAATCTCAACCACGAAAAATGAAAGACTGTTGAAAGCTCCAAGCAAAATATGCAACAGCACAAAAATGTTACAATCGGGATATGAAGCAACCCAAAATATGACCTAAGTTGGAGCAGAAGGAAGTTGAGAGAATCTATTTAACCCTAACTAGGAACACCTTTCTTCAGGTAACACCAAGATCGTGAGGTCGTACTGGTGCACGGCTGGGCTCTGCATGGAACAACAATTACACAGGTCCAAATTTTGATTCTAAAAGCTAAAAATCCAATAAACACCACTTACATTGAAATGTTCTATTGTAATTTGTTCCCTCTGTGGAGTTACATCCGTCATTTCCAGCTTCAGGCTGTTGGAGCCAACGTCAGGGTCCTTGAGCGACCGTAAGGGATGCTGCAAGGGATGCAAGGACCGGTCCCCACGCACATTGTTTCCTGGAGGCTAAAGACATTACTGACTACATTTCCCACATGTATTACCTGTTGTACATAGATTGTTACTTTAAAAATACAAATCTTGCCCTGGCTGGCATAGCTCAGTGGATTGAGCGCGGGCTGCGAACCAAAGTGTCGCAGGTTCGATTCCCAGTCAGGGCACGTGCCTGGGTTGCAGGCCATGACCCCCAGCAACCGCACATTGATCTTTCTCTTTCTCTCTCTTTCTCCCTCCCTTCCCTCTCTAAAAATAAATAGATAAAATCTTAAAAAAAAAGAGGCGGCTATTGCCACATTTCTAAAAAAAATACAAATCTATTTAAAGTATTTACAAATATATAGATGATTTTTGCCATCTTGTGCACCAGTTAGCTATTGGCTGAGAAAACACAGCTTTGAAAGGAGAGCCCTCACGCTCAAGAGCGCTGAGAAGCGCCGACCAAACCAACACTAATCCCCTTGGACTTGGTAAAGTGTTGTGGACACCGCAGGTGGCTCAATAAAGGCTTACAAATTCAACAGGGATGACAAAAATCAAGTGTCGCCAGCTCAGTTACAGGGCCATTCCAAATTCCTCCGTACGTCTCAGAAAACCAGGCCGGGAAATCACAGCTCAGGGCGTCTTCCCGGAGTGGAATGCCGCCGCGGACCGCAGGCAGGCCGCCGCTCAGTGCCCTCCCTGATCCACCCAAAGCCGCGCAGCCGCCATGCTCATCATCACCTGCTTAAGCCAGCTCGTCCGCGGCGGAGTGCATTAAAACCCTTAATCTGGAAACGGGAGCGGACTGTTCTGCCAGCGACGACGTTCGGACCACGAGCGGATGCCAGCCTCAGCAGGGGTCAGACTCAACAGGCACGCTTTTACGGTTATGGGCTTGAGTCCTCATTTTCACCTAATTGACAGGCATGTTTCACTAAAAAGATATATGGGGCGGCGTGGCCAGCCCCGGGTTCTCCCCTCCTGATCGCTCCTGCTGTGGTGCCAGCCAGCTCAGATACGGTCACCCGTCACCCACGCCTGCCCCGTCGTCGCAGAGGTGCATCTGGTGGCTCTTCTTACGGGACTGCGAGGTCTCGGCAACTCGGGGCAGCCTGAGACAGAGACTAGACGTCTTGGATCTTGACATTCTAGGGCACTTACTTCTCGACCTGCTTCATGAACTGGCCTCCCAGAGGCCTTCGCAGGGTTCACTCGGTCCAGGAAGAACAGCAGACTGCAAGTTCACTCGCCCCAAGGAAGAATAAAGATCCAGGAGTTCTCTAAGAAAAATGTTGGTAGTAGCTATGTGTGGATCATTGCTGAGTATCTTCTTTTCTATTTTTTAATGGTTGGAAATAACTATGTCGGGCTTTATTGCAGATGTTAGACCTGGTTGCCAACCGGAAATCGATCTCAGGATCTCCAGAGGGTAGACAGGCAAGGCTGACACTGTGACTTTGAAATGATTTGAGACGGAATATTGGGTCAAGTGAGTCTTTCATTTCTAGGAAAAGTGCAATGAGGAACTGCCCTTATGAAAGGTAAAGCCTTGCATAAAAAAGATTTTCTGGTGAGCATTTCCCAGTTTCGTCATTAAAGAAGTAATGGTTAAAATGGAGGAAGGAAGGAAGGAAGGAAGGAAGGAAGGAAAAACGTATCTAGATACAGTGGAAGATTATTTAGCCATTAAAAAGAAGGGGATCCTGCCATTTGCAACAATATGATGGACCTTGAGGGCATTGTGCTAAGTGAAGTAAGCCAGACAGACAAAGACGATAATGTGTGATATCTTTCTACATATATCTTACGTATATGTGGCATCTTAAAAAAAAGAGCCTCATATGTATTTTTTCACCAACAGGGGAGGGTGGAAAGTGGGACTTTATCCAGGTTTCTGGTGAGATCCGAAGGCCTGGGTGTGCCAGAGTGCTCGGGAGTTGTCCTTGTGGGGCTGCAGGGTTGTCCCGAGGGTCCCCGTAGGTTTTACCTGTTCCCTGGGTGCTGTAGTAAGTGTCTGGAGTTTCTTGTCTCTAAAACAACACGCTGCCCGCCCTCAAAGTTTCAGAGCGCTTTCTCCTTTGCAGCTGAGGCTAGCTCAGTGTTCCCTAAGCTCCTTTCGGGCTTCAACACAAACGAGGTGGACGG